ATAGTTGAGAGCAGAAAAGCACATAAACTCTAGACAGGGCCATATGTTGACAATCCACATTCAAGCACCAAAAGAAAGCGCCCAATAGTGGAACAATAACTTATTTGACAGCCCACCAACCAACCCCTAACTTTCAAGATGCACCCTGCCACCCCAGAACCGGCCAAGACATGAACTGCAAAGGTCACACAAATCAAGCTAGCTCTAAGACCGCATGATTTTATGCAATCTCAACTAGCTAGACTTCAAAAATCCCAGGGTTCTCAGTCCGGAATTTGCTGATGGCGTGTTCAGCCGTAAACTTCACATTCCGGATGTAGGCTTGGACACCGGGTGTCCAAGGGTCAACTAGCTTCTCAGGGTTCAAACAATTCTGGGCATCATTGGCGTTGACGTCATCCAGCCATGCGGCCTTAGCTGCGTGAACATATCATAGAACACTGTGAACCACCATTGCACGCGTGTAAAGTTAAGGACGAATAAATAAAAAAACACTGGAAGCAACCTTTGCAATTTAGGATAACTTGGGACAGGGCTGTGTGTGTCGCGCACGCATGGGCGAAGGCAATGTTCAAAACATCCGCCATTGGGAAGCTGAAGTTTGCAAATTCCTTGTTGGACCTCCAAGTGGGCAGCCTGGTCTTGAGCCCCACTGATGGCCTGGACCTGGTGTAGTACGGTGAAAAGGAAGACCTGGAAAACACCCGCTTCTCAAAATCATCCCCGCGGAGATTCACTCTGCCAGACTTCCATTCACGCACGAGCGTGGAGAGCAGGGTGTCCGCTAAGCCCTCTATGAGTCGAGCCTCATTGTCCTCCGGCGAAGGTACCTCGATGTTGGCTGGCTTGGATGTCTTGTTTGTTCTCTCCTTGCTGGTGTTCTTGACCTGCTTAGATCCCGTGCTGTTGCTTTTTTGCTTGCTTGCTGCTGCCTTGGGAGACGCTTTGGGGGCACGTCGTGCCTTTCCCTTGGGCTCAGCTTTGAGCTCAACCTCATCAGAACCGCCGTCCGCAGTTTCTTCAAGCACAGGCATTCGGCTTTCCTCCATGGCTTCCTTCACCTTCCTGGCCTTCTTGGGGGGGTGCTCAGCACGTGATTCCTCACCGGTCTTCTCTGGGGAAGCTCCAACCGCAGGCGCAGGTTCAGGTGTCCGGCCCCGCTTTGCTCCAGCCTTTGCTTTCGCAGTTGCTTTTGCTCGTGGGGTTGCTTTGGCTTTTGCTTGTGTCTTTGCCTTTGCTTTGGCCTTTGGCCTGGTCTTGGGTTGCTCCCTCTCTGCCTCTTCACCCGTAGGCACGTCCAATGACTTGTCTGTCTTTGTCTTGTTTCTTTTTGGTTTGGTTTCTTCCTTGTCTTTCTTATTCTTGCTTTTTGTCTTCCCCTTCCCTCCACCTTTTCCTTTTCCCCGGCCTCCACCTTTTCCTTTTCCCCGCCCTCGACCCTTGCCTTTTGGCCGCCCTCGACCTCCGCCCTCCTCTTTCGACTCCTTCCTAGACTGAAGCTGCTCTCTGCGAGTCAATACCTGAGCAAAACACAAAAAGGTCGCCGTTAGTACTTTAGCATCGCCAAAATATAGCAACAGCTGCATAGTTTCACAGGAAGGTGCCATAAATTTTGGACCATAGCACATATAAAAAAACAACAATACAGCAACTGATGTTCGCAGGTACCGATCCTTCCTCAACAATCTGAGGCAGTGGATCACCAGCAACTGAGGGCAAGCGAAGTAATGGAGAAACTATTGAAGGAACTGCCTCCGGCATGGGCACATCCCGGACCTGTGTCTCCATAGTGTCCGTCACCTCAAAGGGTAAGGAATCATCTACCATCATCACGCCTCTGCGAGATGCGAGATCAAGTCTAGATTCAATACATCGGACGTTTCCAAAATACACGCATGGTTGTAAAGAAGTTGCAATCCCAGGACATGACGCGCAGGCCTTGTTGAGCAGCTAGCTGGGCACTGGCACGCAGGCTATCCCGCCTGCAGTCCACTGGAAGATCCATGGATGAAACAAAATGTGTAGGTTTCAAAGGCAATATCATGCAATCACTGTAAAGCAATCCACCTCATGAGCTCTTGCTTCAACATCTTAATCTTCTCATCCACAGAAAGCATACTCTTGCCCTCAACAGGACCACCTCGGTGGAATGTCAACTTATGTTTGGCAAGCGTTTGACGCCAGCGCAGCATAATGAAAATCACAACTGACTGATTCACCACTGAAACAGCATAATGCCTGTCATGGCACATTTGGGAGGTTGGACTTCAGGGCTGTCAAGCAAATCTAGCACTTCTTGAATATGCACCGCTTTGCGCAATGGTCGCGCGCAATCAAGTGCTACACTGTCTGGTGTGGACGGTGCAGGCACCTTTGTCTCAGTCTCAGCCTCACCCCCTGGTGGCTGTGAGTCTTCAATCACAAGTGGCTCCATGGGCATGTCACCTGGAGCCAAGCCTTGATCGGAATCAACAGGAACTTGGTCTGAATTGTCTCCGTCCGGATCAGGTTGCGAGGCCGAGGGTTCACCTGGAAACCACTCTCCACCCCCTTCTCCCTGTCCATCTTGTACTAAACCCTCTTTCACCTCCACCCCTTCAGCCTGCTCAGCCGGCTGACTTCCAAACAAGCTTTCCTCTGTTGGCTCACATGGTGGGTCGGGAACGGGGGCAGCAACTCCTGCACTGCCTTGGTCTTCCGGAACAACTGCGATTGTTGGGGCGATATCCGTTTCCTCTTCAGGGGTCTTCATGTCGGGACTGGCTGTCTCTCCAGGGTTCTCATGCCCATTTGGTGCATCACCGTCGTCATTTGCATCTTCACCAGTGGCACCATCGTCACCATCGTCACCATCAGCAATCTCCTCTTCGTCCTCCTCATCCTAAACTACTCACACAAAGAATCTTGATAAAGCACCAAAGCATCCTAAGCACATGAAACAAAATGAGGCAAACTCACGACAAATTAATGTAGGCATAGCATCGTAGTACGGGGAGTTGGTGTCAATGGGATTCTGCTCCATGAACTCCTGAAAAGCACCCAACCCCTCGCTGGAAAGACTGTGACTATGGCCAATATGGCTTTGTTGGATGAAGATGACAAAACCGCAAATGTTCATGCGATTTGGCAGAAAATATGGAATCAATGAAAACTCATGGCTGAACCATCCATCAAAAATGCAGCCGGTTGCCCAGCACACACACACACACCACCTTGCCTGCATTTCCGGAAACCAAATAAGCAATAGATCACGAAAGCGTTGGTCCTGAGATCAGCACGCACACACACATGAACATGCCTCCAAACTGCGTGGACAAGTTAAAAGGTCAGCTTTACAGTTCTTAGAAAAAAAACGCAGTTCCACAGCAAAACCCCGATAGCAAGTGCACATTGCAGTCAAAGTTCTTTTGTGATCTCCCATCTTCGCCCTTTTCTTTTGATTAGCCCGAGAGCTGCCTTAAGTCCCCATGATTCCCTGTAGATTACCTCCTCAGCATGAACCAAGCTGTTGGTCTGGTAAAGTGTTTTGAGCTCTGCTTGCAGTGAGGGCAGGTCCGGCAACTTCTTGTCCCTTAGCTTGCCATGTTGTGTGGCGTGGGGTTTGCAAAAACAACATTTATAAGTTTGCAAAATGTTTGTGGATGTTCTTGTCTTCTTTTGCGAAGCACTGCGCAAACATGTTGCGTTCAAACATGAACCTTGCACATACCATTCTAAGGACAAGCTGCTTGGTCACTTGTAAGAGTGGAAGGATTTGCGCAGCATGAGCTGAACATGATGCAACAGTGGCCTTGAAAACAGGCCCTGCACATCGTAGAAATGTGTGTTCATCACTCCGGAGAAATTCTCTGACATCTGGATCAAGGTCCCACACATTTGCCAAACCCGTCAGCGTCAACTGCGGCTTTCGGGGCATTGCCTCTACAATCTTTGTAAGACCAAGTAGCTTGAGCCAAAACCTTCAGTGAATATATAAGTTAAGCAAACAAGAAGAGCAGTGGCATAGAGAATAGTTTTTATGTGTGGAGACTGGACGTGAGTTGCTTCCCTTACAGTAAGTCTTCAGTTGGCCATGCTCTTGCAGGACTTTGGATGGCAATGCACTCTGAGCTGACTGTCAGTGGAAAAAAGTGCTCTGGGAAGCCCAGCTGGCAGGTGTCATCAGCCACACATCAGAGTGTGCCATGTTGCGAAGGATCAACATGGGTGCAAGACAGTACAAATTTGTGTTTGTGCTCTTCCAGGGTTGTCAAACCTTCCGATTGAAAACTCTTGAGAAGAGCGCCAGAACAACCTATTGCCGTTCCATTGGCTCCTCCAATGTTTCGGTTCTTGAAGATTGAAGTGATGATAAGAACTGATGATTTTGTTACCTAAAAAACACATTGGACACGTGGGAAAGTTTCTTCCACCAACAGCTCACCAGAAGCACCCGGCGGTCGATTTGAGCCACCTTCCATCCAGATCCTTGGAGCAAAGTGTTGGAGACCTGGGAATTCAAGGCTCTTGGGAAATAGTCAGGTTTTTTCCACAAATCCTGTCTTTTTACTTTTCCTTAGTACATATTCAAGATTTATTTTTCCATCGTGGTTTTTTCCAGGTTCTTTGATTAAGGGGTATATATATATATATGCATGCAATGTGTTCCCCTTTTCAAACATCGAACCCTCAAAATACCGTGTTCGACCCCGAAAAACGAGAAAAAACGGATCCCCAATCGAGCGTCGAACGAACGTAGCGTCTTCTTCGGCTTCGAACGGGTCTTGGCCAAGTTCCCGTAGGACCCCGGGGCTCGGACCCGCTGGTTTTGAGAGATCCACGGGACCGTGGCTCTTTCTGACCGGAGACGTCCGGACCGCGGCCAAGTGGAGAGAACCAGACTTTTCAGCGTGAAAAGACAGGATTTTGGACCAGACAGGTTCCAATTGAAGGAGCACAAATCATTGGCTCAGTAGGCCAGTCGGCTGCCGCCTCTAGGGCTGGCCTCCAACTCGACTCAGGTTGAAAAGCACCCACTACTTGGCCCCTGAGAATCTCAAAGACAGAGTCTCGGCTGTTTCAGCCTCCAACCGACTCACGATGGCCGACCTGGTGCCGACTGGGCGGAAAGCCGGGGCGGATGCATGCCTAGATGATCCATGGTGGCGCACAGATCGTCCACATGACTGGTGTTTTTGTTGGGGGTGTTCAATCTGTTTTCATGTTACCCAGATGCTCCATGTGTGGCATATTTAGGACCGACCCCTCCAACCATCCCGAAGCTTTTCACATGCCAGTCCGAGTGTATACTTAGTATACTTCTCTCATGTGCAAAGGCCATCATGGATCGTTTGGGGAGCCCTTTTCCTCCTGGAGTTCGTGGAACTGAAGTTCTTCTGGTGATCCTTCGGTCACGAAAAGGCCCGTTTTTCAGGTCACAAGATGAGGGACATGTTTCAGGGTCATGTTGAAGAAGCTGGGCATAGGCGTAGGCCTAGCCGCTAGTAGGTTGGAGGCCTAGCCGCTAGTAGGGAAAACTGAATGCCGTTTTCGGAAACCGTACCCGGTCAGAGTTTCTGAGGGGAGTCGTTAGAACGATGGTTCTGGGCAGAGTTGGCATCGCCTTGGAGGGTTGGCGGAGAGGGAGTCTTTCGGACTTAAGACTTAGGGGGCCATTAAAAAAACGGGCGGAAGAGGTCAGCACGGGCTCCAGAGATACGTGAGGGCTTACTCTACAGTCTTGAATCAACAGTGGATGTGTTGTGTTTTGGGGGGGAGGCTCTGGATGTTTGACCCGGCAACCATATCCAGTTTACCCATATATCCAGTTTAATCTGATCAATGTTCATTCTCCTCTGCAACCCTCGCGGATTGGTGGTCTGGTGGACATCTGCAGGATTTCTGCAGGAGACCGAACCCTTGCCGAACTGGTGGCAAGACGAGGCACTGGTGACGGGAGTGGTTTGCGGGACTGGGGGAGTGGAACTTCACCACACCGGGCGGGGGTGAGTCGACGGATCACCTATGTCGGATCCTGGCACCCCAAGCACCAACAAAAATGCAGGGAAGCGGCACGATCCAAGACATCCAAATATGTAGTGGTTGAAAGAAAGGTGCTGAAAGGCCACGTCCCTGTATTCAGAGATGATCTCGTCAGAGTGCCATTTTAGGCCGCGGCCTACTGTCAACGATTGCCTTTGCAGACCTAGATCTCCTGCAAAGTTCTTTGGATTATATATAACGTACCTGCCTTAATTCATCGACATGCAGCACGTGAATCAGCGCTGGGCGTTTGCAAGACACTAGTAAATAGTACGTCTTTTGGTGCAGCTACCCTCTGACGAACACATCACATGGAAGTGGAAAATGGTCCCTTAAGTAGTCCTCTACCAGCAAGGGGCTTTCCACTTCCATGTGATGTGTTCGTCAGAGCGTCTCTCGTCTCTCAACTGGGACCCACCGCCCCACCGGTCCGCCCGTTGACCCCAGCCGACCGTCAGCCTGTCAGGTGAAACACATGGTGGACCCTGGTGGGTTCCAAGTCTTGCGACGCTTCACTCTGCTGTCGCCACTCTTCTTGGCACTCACCTTCCTGGTCTCCTTGGGGTACCTGGGCCGCGCATGGCCGCTTGAGGGGCGGGGGACGGGACTGTGGGGGGTTCACAGCTAGTTGGGACATGGAGAACTGAATAGAACTGAAACAATATGCATGGACTCAACGTTGGGGTTTGTAAAAAACTATCGAAGCAGACTACATCAAGGATTTGCCTGTATATATATATATATACAAAAGCTGAGCCTGCAGGATGAATCCTTCATGAAAGTTACAAACGTGTTACTATTGTACACTTGTACACCACCTTTAAGGCTCAAAAATAGAAAGCTCTAAAAGCCCCGCACCTCCATCCTAGCACCCTTTGCAAGCCATTGTCCATTTCAAACAGACCAGGATCTGAAAGCGTTCCTGGAGCAAGGATCCAATTCGAACTCTAGAACGCATCAGGTAGAAGTGCGATCCAGTTATATCCAGTTCACAGCTGGAGGGTGGCTGAGCGCCTGCACATGTGGAAGTCAACGTTTGTCAATACCATCTCTTTTCACTATTCATGTCCTGCGAATTTTCCTATCATGTGACTCATATGCCAATCAATAAAGAGCAGAAGGTCTAACCCGAAGCCACTCCTCGCTTAGCTTCAACTCAGTTGCAGAACACCAATCTTCAACATTGACGTTTGTGCACCTTTGGATCATACCGCAAAGAAGGACTGATTGTTTGAAACACACATACACACACACATGGACCATCCTGTCTGGGTGTGCTGGCTGGAGATCCCGACAGTTACTGGGTAGTCCAGCCAGGACATCCAGATGGTCGGATGGTCATGACGATGGACGTTTGCCGGTTCGGAGGATCCTCCTCCTTTTCATCCAGACAGGATGGTCAGACGTGTCCAAGTGACAGGTCTCCTGCTGCCGTGAACATGGCGGGAAAATGGCTCGGTTTGATGAACTAAGGAATACGCTTCGACATGTTTGGCGTATGCTTCGGAAGGGAGGCCTGCTCAAGCAGAACCCTGGCATTGATAGCATCTGGGCCAACTTAAAGTTCCACGTGTGCAACATGAGTGCATCGTCTTCAAGTTCGATTGAACGCATTGTTCTGAAGTGGAAGTCACCAAGGAGCTCTTGTTCCAACTGAGTCAGGGATTTGTGATAGCCCGGGATGCCAACATATAAGAAAGATCCTTTTCACCACCAGCCAAGAACTGTTCAATATGTTGCCCAAACGCAACTGGCATGGGACTGGCATGGCATACTGACCTACAAAAAGGGCTGGTTGAATACGACGGTCTTGCGTCCGGTCCGTCGGTCTTGCGTCCGGTCGTGGGACTGGGTTGAAGGTTTCGAGAAGCCGGGGACCATGGAGATCCGGGGGGGGCAGAGGGAGATCATGGAGACCTTGACACAGAGGGAGCTTTCCGGTGTAAACTGATCAAACGTTCCAGGATTTGATGTTTGTCATGATTGCCTGCCTCATAGGATTACAAGAGCTCTTCTCCATTAGTCCTATATGTATGTTGAAGGTATTCGAAAGTGGTGAAAGAGATTGCATATTCAGCAACAGCGACACAGCCCTGTCTTCCGCCTTTCAGATCTCTTATACACGGTGCACACGTGTGCATCGTCCAGGCAGCATCATGATCATCGCGCTACCTATGATCGCCTGTATGATGTCATACAGATCAGTCACGCGCATGTGGATGATCTGTGCCAACAGCGACCAGACAAAGTCAGCTGGGGGGGGTTGGCTTGGGGTTCCGGTCTGAAAGAAGCATGTGCAATATAGCCAAGTGTGAACAGAATTGATGGGTGAACTGGCATTGACATGGCATAGCAAGGGGCCACAATTCAACGGAACACATAACAAAAACATGTTAACAGGTTGCAGGATGTGATTTGCTTCACGTGTCTGCTGATGTCACACAAATGACATGGTTTTGCCTTGGTGTTCTACCAGGAACCGAGGTGGAGAACTGTGGAGCAACCGGGAACCGGTGTGGAGCTGGAGCGGGATGCCCAAGGTCAACTCCAGGTGCTGCAGGTCAACTCCATCAAGTTGGCTCCAAGTGACCCACCATCCTTATGATTCTGATGATTCCTAACCAGTTATGGCCACTGGCAACCCTTGGCCTTTGGGCAAAACAAGTGTTCAAAAGGTTCAATGTCTATTTTTTTTCAGCAAAACCGGGAAGGTGTAAGCCTGTTAGCATCCACCAAAGAAAACGTTCGTTCATTCTCCATCTCCGCGCTCCATTCCTCTCTCAGGTTCCGCACGATGTCGCACGATTGCGGGGCGGAAGCGTTGAGCATTGGAGCGTTTTGGGCAACTGAGGCAAAGTTGGAAGTTTGGGCTATGTGGAAGACTTTCAGGGCAACCGGACCTGGGTGGCGCGCTTGGTGGTTTGCCAGAACATGTATGAGACTCGATTTTTTGAAGTTGTGATGGAGATGGGGGGATGTTCATTGGGACTCAAAGTAAGAATCGACCGATGCGCACCTCAACAAAACTTGGACTGGAAAGACATGTCAGAACTATATATTCAGAACTTATTTGGGGCTTATCATGAAGATGTCCATCGAAGGTTTTTCTTCTGCAGCACAGTGTGCGAGTGTTATTGACCTCGTTGGACTGATGATCTTGCGACATCTATACGATCGATGATCCATGGTAAAGTATATGATCTTCATAAGGCAATCATGTCCGCCTATATTTGTTCCAAGCTGAAAAGTCCGCTCGTCCTACTAAGAACACCCTGGCAAAGTTCTAGGTATAGTATAGGCGCGACTTGAACTGCGCCACCATTGATCCTCTGGGATTGGTGGCCTTTGGGTGGTAAAAAGCCGACAACCCGTCCGACGTGTAGTGTTGATGGATTGTCCAAGGAATCCCAGGAACGGAGGTGGCAAACGCCCTTGCTCAAGCTCATAGCGAGAAGGACTACCCTAAGACGATTTCCTGGTGTTCAGAGATGTTCAGATATCTTCAGAGATCTTCAGTTTCTTCTGCCGTCTACTATTTCGTAATTATATAGGTTGCGCATGGTTGCGCGTCATATCTTGATGCCTTTGCATGACTGGCCACACCGCTGGGCATTTTCGTACCACAATTTTGCTGTTCCGCTCAGGAGACAAACTTCTTGCTGACGGACCTCTACGAGTTCCTCGGCGCCTGCTGAGCTGGGCTGTTGCTCTGTTCAAAAGAAAGAACGCAGCAACTTCTTAAGAGCGTCTCCAAATATCTCCAATGACTATCAAATACTCTATCCCAGCACCTTGTAACAGGTCTCCTCTGGAGGCTTTGCAGACTTCAAAGTTGCAGGTGGTGACCGACCTGTGTTTCGTCGGGTTCTGCTGTAGATTCTTAAGAGTTAGCGATGTTTTCCGAGCTCTGCGGGATGTCCAGCGATTTTTTTTTGAAAGGATCCACACAACGGACTTACTAGCTTGAACTCCAAAGGACTCAAAGACGTGTTACTGGGCAGGAACCAGTCGACATTTCTTTAGACTTCCCAAAAAAGCCACCAGCTCTAAGTGTGTATTGCATCCACCCACAGGACTCGCACTCGCACACAGGACTCGCACACGGGTTGAGACGGTGGTGAGGTCCTGGGCCTTGCTCCACTTCGCCAACTTAGCCCTGCAGATCATCGCCTCTCGCAGCACCAAGCCCAGCCGAGCAAGTGTACCGCAGCCGGCCGCACGCGCGAGTCAGACGGTGATGAGCCTGCAGGAGAGCGGTGAGTCAGGTTCAATCCATTGGAGGAGGTGAGGTTAATTGCGGTTTGTTCAATCTAAGGTTTCGTATCATTTGATTTGGATGCTGGTCAAAGATCAACTTTGAAGCCAAGAGTGGACAGACCTCTCAGTGAATCCAAGAGCACTTGTCCAGCATCGGTCTTTGTAGTCTCCCTCCGTTGCACTGAGTCGATTTGATCTTTTTTGTTCCAGGAGAAGCTGACTGAAAGTGTCGATGCTTTGACCAAGCAAGGCGCGTGCCCGGTGTGCGAGATGACGATGGAACATTGCCAAGTGATGTTCATTCCCAATTGTGTTCAATTCAATTCCCAATCAATGTTTTGTTTGCGCGATGAAGAAAGAACAAGAATATACAAGAATATTCATCGGGCTCCACAGACACACATGGAATCAAAGCATGTGGTCGAAAAGGGTCTGAAGATGTTTGAAGAAGCTGTATGTTCAAGCTCTTCCCCATAACAAAGTAAGCTCATCGTATACCGTATGGCATCGTATGTGAACATGGTCTTAGTACTGTCCTGGACAAGTCACCTCCCGAGGCATTTATCTCTTCAACGGCACCTGTTTTCTGGAAGCGGCCTACAGCCTCTTCACCACTTCCGTCGAGGCAACGATCGGTAGGACGCGTTCCACCCCATGGGGTTCAGCCGGGAAACACGAAGGAATCAGCTCGAACTGCGACTTGGTTACTATCGTTGCTATAGGTGTCGTGCTTTCTACCGCTGTTACTGTTACTACTATATACTGCTACCAATGATGCTACTACTGCCACTACCACTACGTACGGCTCTATTATATAACTATGTTATTAGGTGCAATTACTATTACTACTATCATTACTACTACTACTACTACTACTACTACTACTACTACTACTACTACTACGACTACTACCACTACTACTACCACTACCACTAGCACTATTACACCAGTAGAGTAGCAGTATATAGTTGGTCGCACCATCTACCAGTGCTGCCTTCCATGTATCTCCCCGTAGCATCTGAAAGGGTAGTTATGATAATGTCGATCCCCAAAGAGAGATAGCGCCCTAAGGCTCCAGGGGTTGTCGGCCCGCGCAGGGCGGACCGTGGGGACTCCACGTTTCAGGCACTATCTCGGGGGATGTTCGGGGTCTATGGATGCGCTATAGCCATTCGACAAGCCACCAACCCCCCCCAAAAAAGGTTCCACCTTCAATCGAGGAAAGTGACTTCGATGTCGTAAGGTGCAAAGAAAGTCTGTGTTCTTTTTGGGGAATTTGCTTGAACAGGCACACGGTTCTTTAAACATTGCGAGGAACAGACAGGACACATCCCAGACACGACACATAGGACTGCCATAGGACTGCATATATATGACAGTCCCCTGGAGTGTTTGGGACATTGTAAGGTCTCAGTTTGATTTGAGCACCATATGTTTTTCCTTTGCAGAGCCACAGGTACATCAGCCGAATGCGGGGAACTGGCCAAAAGTTTTTTTTATGCCCACGAGTGCCACGAGACATATATTTGCTATTATGTGCTTATGCTGCAATGACCACAGAAGGACACAATCTATGGTTTGGGTCGGCCAATGTTATTTTTTAAAGCTGTACAGGGGGGGGATACTCCCATCACCATGCCTAATAATTAAGTTCCTTTGACGATAGATTGTTTATTGAAGACAGAATGGACTCCCCAACAATATTGCAACCATTCCTCATTGCTCATTAACTCACATTCGATTGTGATGTTTAATATTGCGCCCACTGAATGTCAACACATGAGGCACAAGATTGACCAACATTGTGCCATTCATTGACTCATTAACAATATTGCATAATAGTTGATGAATACCAGGACCTTCCAAGAGGTGTCTATAGGCAGCCTCTTAGAGGTCAAGGGGTGCACAAAAAACCACCGGACTTGGAAGGGCCTGGTATGTTGATAACCATTATCTGAATATGTTGCCCAATGAGTCAATGTGATCGAGGCATACCTGGGCGGCGATCGGACCTTGAAGTTCAACGAGCGAGTGTATCGCAGCCGGACTCGCCGCTTTGGGCGATTGGCATGCCAATGCATGAAACGGGAAGACCTATGATCTATCTATATAATACAGGAAAACATGTCTGTTGTCTTTTTTTCCCCTGAGCTGTCTAGTTGCATTGTACATACATATGTCATATTACATATTTTTGAAACTGAATAGACATTCTGTAAAACATGGACTACATGTTTCCTTGTATTACTGGTGGGAAGCAATGTATATATGTTTCTTGTTGGTAACCACTATACTGTGAAGAAGACTATGCCGGTCGAACAAATGAGAGGAAAGTTGACTGATTTTTTGTCGCCCAGTTTGACCTTCTCAATCAGTGGTATACACCATTCTGTCCACTGGAAGGGATCTTTGCTTCCCATCCAATTGCCTGGACCATTCTATTCACAACTCCAGGGTGAATATGGAAGGTCATGTGCATGTATATATATATATTAATATGGCGATCTTTGGTGCAATGTGGTTGTGGTGCAATCCATCGGCTCTTTGGGTTTCAGAATGTTCCATACCAATGTGATGGCTGGCAAAATCCCTGAGGCTCAGCGGCTCAGTATTCCACACAGCCACATGACATGTACTTCTCTACATCTAACTACCCCAAGTTACAGGTCCACTCCTCTCTGTGATACACATGACATCCGTATACCCTACCTACCCGGTTACCTTACAGAATCCCAGCGAGTTCCAGGCAGCAGAACCAGGGGCAGAACCAGGGGCTCGACCCTGGCCCGTACCATCCGGACTGACCCGGGGTCAATGTATGCAAAGATGCCAGTCCCATGGACGGCCACAATCTACTGGGTTACCCTGATCTACCCTCTCTCGTGGAAAAACGGGCGAGGAACAGACAGATGCCCAGGTTCGATCCGCTTCGAACTTCCGAACTGGGACGAAGGACCGGAGGGAGTCGCCATACACCCTAGCAGTTCGGGGTTCAATGGCTGTGAAATCAAAACTCAGAGAGGTCCCAAATCCAGGTTGATTCAGTTGATCTCCATGAGTCTTGTAGTCTATTCTGTTCATGGTGGGCCCCCACATCCCCGGGTGCCATGAGCCATGAACCCAGTGAGTCATGAGACATGACATGTCATCCCTCAGGCGTTCACTACTTCTTCCTGGGCATGGGCGCGATCGCCTCCTCCGCGGCCATCGGCAACGTGGTCACCGTGGAGATGACCTTCGAGAAGCAACTGACGCGAAGCAGCAGAGAGAGTCCTCCGGAACGCGTGCTATTTGGCGTTCCGGGGTGGGCGGTGCGTTCTTCTCGAGGGTGTTAAAGAGACCATGGAAATCCAGATAATGGAAGCAGATGGAAATACCATGAACGTGCTTGAGACAGAAGGTATACCCAGACACTTCATTTATGGCGGACCTACATTGGGGTGGTTGAAAAGGGGTCAATGATCAATGTATGTAACTATTATGCAATACATGTTGTCTCCGGATATACACCCACGTTCATTTTGGTGGTTTTCCATATTTTCCGGACCACTTGGTGGCCCGACATGCTGGCTGAAAAACGGTGTTCGATCACTGGCCTTGGCTTTTGAAGGCCGCTGCTGGAGTAAGAAGAGGTCCACCCAATTGACAGACGGGTGTGTATTTGAATAGGAAGCCCTGGCTGGGTAGACTGGTCTATTTCTCGAAGCTTCCAGGTCTTTGCCTGGCAGGTCTTCCTAATTTTCAATACAGACCCATATTTTTAGGAGAACTTCGGAGGAATGTTTTTCGTCTTCTACCCCTGTGACGCTACGGGGCACCGGCGCGATGGCGGAGAGCTGCAGCTTTCTCCCACGTGAGGGTCTCAAGACTTTGTGTTTGTCATCTCCTGGGCATTTGAGTATCGCTAGTAGCTTGGAGGCCATTCCTATTAGATTGGAGGAGGTTGGAGGCCATTGCTAGTAGGTTGCCATGTGTTTGTATTTTCACAACGATTATAATGATGTCCTGTGGCTGCGGTTGTACTATTTGTTTTAATGATTTTAAGGACCTCGAAATGGCATCACGAGATGCCGGACCCTACGCAGGTTTGTTTACACAGGTAAAATACCAGCAGTTCCATTGATGGCAGAGTAGGGGTGCCCAAAAAAACATCCACTCAATGGATGGGACTCAAATCCCACTCCTTTGGACTTTTGCGTGCATGAAATGATCCAAACTGGAAGCTGGAGGTGTCTCTCTCTCTCTCTCCCTTCCTCCCTGACACTTCATGTTGCATGCAAATATGGCCGACAGTTTGTGCTTTGGTGAATGAATTGACCTTTTTGGGGTCATATTTACGCCACGGATCCTTTGGGTCTGCAGAACGCACCATTCTTCGACCCCTGCAGAAGGGGTCCGAACCGACCAATGGCCCGCGCGCAACTGCCCAGGGAGACCTTTCGGCCCTCGGCGAAGTTCTGGTCCACGAAGATCCTCCTCTCCATCGGACCCTCGACACCGAGCGCGCACCGCGCCGAGCAAACCGCGCAGGGTGGGCTTCCGCTGTCGCGCGTTCCGTTCGTTTTTGCGGTGGAGGCGCGCGCGCCCAAGACTCACGTCACCGCAGGGGTTCCCGCGCGGCGCGTTTGCACAGCATGGGGGTGAGGTTTTATTCAGACCTTGCTGTTGGAAGTGCCTCCCTTGTCCACCAGCCTCTCCATCACTGAGAAGGAGAGCGGTGTCGTGTGTGGGGTGAAGTTGGGGGGCTTAGATCAAAGTGTTTGCACAGACGTGCATAGATTCGAACATCTAGGCCGGATGGTGAAGGAAGACCAAGGATTCGTTTTGGTTGAGTATGATTAGCTCCCTCCGTCCAGAAAACCCTATAGACTCAACAAGTGACCTGTTTTTTTGAAAAATATGGGTTCAAGTGTTCCCCCCTTCCCCAATGTTTGGTACGTTACATTACCACAAAGTCAAATTAGCTGCTTAGCTATTATTCCATTGTTGGCTGGGTCTTGTTGACAGGACCTATTCTATGCCTCCCTGCTTTGCATTGAGTGCTTCCTGCTGAGCTACTTGGAAATCAAACTCCATCCCGACTGTCACAGGTCCAAAGACAAGTTGTTCCTCTGAAAGTATACGGGAGCCATCGTCATCATGGTCCGAGCCACTCAACTTCAACATGTCCATGTCCAATTATCCCTAGCGCTCCAACCATATCCTCAGAAGGTAGTCAGACCTCCCAAATCCACCCCAACCATCTTCTCAGGAGGTGGTTGGAGCCCCAGGGTATATAAGCCAGAGTTTCACATCCTGAATTTTCCTGGGAACGAATCCCTCCATCCTTCTCGGGCCAGCACGCCAAAACAGCACCCGGTGCCGAAAAACCATCCGAAGAAAAAGGGAACAACACTGAGGAAAACGGGTGCAGAGCAGTGTAACTGTGCAGAGCAGTGTGTTTGTTTCTTCGCTGCAGATCCTGTTCTGAGCTCCAGACATTGCAGACGCAAACCTCCGCAGGTGGAGTCCCCACTTCATTGAGGTGACATGATCATACCGGTGGTAGTGGTGTTTGTTATTTTTCCTGCATGAAAAGGCGGGACGAGGGAACTCAAACAATGTTCCCAGACCCTAAAAGACAAATACTATCAAAAGAATGGTCTTTAGGGGACCCCAAAAGGAACTTCCTTTGCATCAGTCGGTCAAAATATAGTCTTGGACTTCTAGGGCAGACATTCAATGTATGGCATATATACCTACGTTGGGGTGGGAAAGACCGCTTATATATAAACTCTTTCCTAGGGATCCAGTCGTACCTTCTCAGGTGATGTGTTCAACACTGTTACGTAGCTTTAGAGGGTCCAAGTACCTCTGAGAATGTACGACTGGATCCTTAGGGTCACTTCACCGGAGGTTTCTCCCCCGAAACGATCCAAGCCGCTCCACGTGATCGACCGAGGTTGGCTTCACGTGATCGCATGGGATCCCAATGAGTGTCTTGGCGCCAGTTCTCTCGTTGGTCAAAAGCAGAAGGAGCACCGTCGCGCAGTGGTGGTCAGGTATTCTCCTCGCCGACATCCAGGGTCAAATCGATGTGTTCAACCTCATACCTCACACAAATCCCACACAACTGGTTTGCTTTGCCGTGAGATACCCACCGATCGGATGACCCAAACCATCCGATCTTTGGACGCTAAGAGATAGACATGCCGTGCAAGTATGTGCAAGCCCTTCGTAAAAACCAGTGGTACAGCGAGAAGAAACAACACACATAGCCCTACAGAATGCTACAGACGTTCAAGCTGTTTGTGGTCAGTGACCACCACCACCTGACCTGTTGAAAAGAACTTAGAAGTCTGAAGTCATGAAAGAACCAAGGAACTGCCAGGAGTCATAAAGGAGGTGTTTTTTTTAGTCTCTAGGTGAGTGGATCATGGGGACCCCTATGTGACTGCTGGTGAGAGAGTCTCTTCTCTCCAGGTTTCTCTCCAGTGTTGCCGTGCCAGTTGCGTGTGGCGGACATTGCGCCGAGGAGCTGGTTGGACGACCTCCGCGAGAATTGAAGCAACAAAAGTGGGCCGTAGCGGACAGAAGCCTTCGGTCTACCGGTGGTGGTGGTGGTGGTGGTGGTGTTTTTTTGGGCACGATGCATGCTGCGGGTGTGCACCCACAGGGAAAAATAACACAAACACGTGTCGATGTCATGATATTGTGATATATGACCCATGCAGACACTCCATGCATATTTACTTACATCCGGCTGGTTTCAGGGGTCAATCTGGGTGTGCATATATGGTGTTTGTGTGATGGTATTTGGTTTCTGGGCACGAGACCAAGGCAAATCCGCCACTGGCAAGAGCCCTAGATCAACCAGGGTGTGTAGCCAGGGCCATCCTTCCTGTAGGCCCAGGTGCCAGGGATCTTCTGGAACACAGTCTCAGAGGTATTTTTCGAGATGTTGAGACCTGGCAACAATCAAAACAATGTCCAAGGCACAACTCCCAACAGCCCCCCCCATGGGCAAAACAAACAAACGAACAAGGTGGTTTTACCCCATTCCATTATTAGTTCGGATGGTTAAGTTTACTCCAAAGCAGGGCACCAACAGATGCAGTTTCCGGAAGTTCCCCGCCTGCTGGCCACAGGTGATGCGGAGAAGCATGGTGGAGAGGACTGCCGCGGCCAAGAGCAGCGGTTCGCCACTACGGTGAGATGTCCTGGTGTTTAGCCATCAGATACCTCCGTTTTCAAGGGGTTTGGCTGGGCCCTACACTGGGCTTGGACCGCATGAAACACAGCTGCCCAGTGTTTTGTCATGTATAGTTGTTGGAGGTGGTGGTAAATACATAACCCTCCAAGTACCTTCTTAGAATACCTTAGAAAAAGGAACATTATCCCATAAAGACAGGTACTTGACCCATTTTCTGAGGTACTGTCCCGCATGGAGTATTTCGTGACAGAGCACCGAAATTGTTGGGTGGCTTTGTGCTCGGCAATGGCGGCAGCAAACGGGAGACCTTTGGAAGCCATACCCAGATGATCCATCGTAGCACAGTTCTATCGCCTAGGTGGGTCTTTGGTGGTGAATCTAGGTCATGATTACGCCACCATGCATCGTTCGGGCTAGGTCAGGTGCATGAAAAACTTGGGAGACCAGCAGAAATCTCCCTGAACCGCAGTGCGAAAGTCTGTTTCAACAGGCCTCAACTGACAGAGGTTCTCAAAGACAAAACATGATGGAATCATGCATGTGTTCTTGAAAGGCCGGTGTTTTCATCGCGTGGATGTCCGGTTGGAAACGAGATTGGAAGTTTGGCACAAGAATGGTCGCGCCCATGCAGCTGACAAGAGCGCGCCTCATGGAAGCGCCTGTTCAAAGGGCTGAGCCAACAGTGGCCGACGTCGGTCACTGTTTCGGGACTTCCTCATGGCCTTGCATTCTTCATGCCCCAAGAATCTGGAAGAAGAAAACCTAGATTGACCCCATTAAAAACACCTTAACACACAAAAGGACTTCCAGTTGAAAAAGAAGATGACAACATATACAATCAAACACAGCCTCCCATTCATGTGCCTGGGTCATCCTGTTTGGGTGTCCAATAGACTACCCTACACTGCTAGACTGGACCTACAGCCAGGACACCCAGACAAGATGATCCTGGTATGCAAGTAATCCAGTCCCATGGATTTTGTTGGATCAGACGTCCAGGACCACGACGAGGACGAGGAGGTGGCCGGAGCAAGTGGGCGGAGCGGGGTGCGAGGTCAACGGTGATGGGTGGACGAGAGGGGAATTTGGAGGAGACGAGACTAATACTCCTCAGGTTCGGTATGACTGGACCCGACTGGCTGGCACCCACCCCAGTCCCACCGAACGTCAGGTTCGGTACGACTGGAGGCCCAGGCCTAGGGTCAATAAGTTAATACTTGCAAGTCTAAAGATCCGCTATGTCACTATGTTGGACCGATGTTGCAGTCCAATACTCAATTTTTGCACTAATTAGGCAGCTTGCGTTAGAGGTTGAACGCGCGGTCTCTTGGTTTCCGTCCTTGACCACGAAGACACACAAATGGAGCAAAGCAGAGCTCCGTACAACGCGCAAATCGTACGATTTGACAGCCTTTGGGTGCAATTTCCCGACAGATTGGTGGAAGTACGATGAAGTCTGATGATGTTTGATGGACTTGCAAGGTCAATGCACCTCTTGAGGCTTGACTTGTTAAAGGAGAGTCTACGGAACCCCAAACACCATGCAAGAATTTGAGTTGAAGTCCTGCATCCGTTTCTGAGCACACCATACACCACACCCATCCACACCCCATCCAATCAGTCTGGTGGTCCTCAACACGCAGGGCACATTCCCAACACAGTATGACATGCCAGGAGACCACCTTTCAAAGGATGTTTCCCGACCTCGGCTGTGACCGGATGGCTTCCTTCAGCTCAAAGACTTGGGACTTCTCGGAGCCATTGCGTGGTCATGTTCCATGTGTTCCTCACTGGACCGCGGTTCCCTCTCGTGTGCCGCATGACCCGTGCCAAGCTGGGCAGAGCGCAGGTGGAAAGCCCGGCCAAGAGCGGAGGCGGTTGGAGTTGGTGGCCCGATCTCATATGATGGATGGATGGATGGATGGATGGATGGATGGATGATTGGAATCACATCTAGTTGTCCATCCTTAGTTTTAGAATGTCTTAAAGAATGGTAAACACAGATTTTTTGACTGACATGTGGCATATTCAACTGAGCTGAAGGGTTTGGCTATCACTCGGCGGAAGAGTTCTGTGGTGGAGAAAGGTGTGGGCCCTTTGGCTTCCAAGTTTGGTTGCTATTCTTCGAGATTCTTGCATTGAAGGCTGTTGAAATAGACCACTTTGTCAGGCCATTTGACATGATTTCCAGGCCATGCGTTTCTTTCGGTTCCTCAGTCGGGCGTGACGATTTGGGGAGCGACCTCAGGACGATTTGGATGTCGAAGTACCTCTCACTTGGAGCGCTCAAGTGTGAACAACGTTTCGAGACCAATAGGTTGAACAAAACATATGTTTTCCCAGCGAGAATTAGACATGAGAGGGGCTCGAGCCCCCCAGCCCTTGTCTTTTGCAGCCTTTTATTTTTTACAGCTTAAAGGGTTTATCAAAGGGTTAAAGTATCTTAAAGTCCAATTATCTTCAAGTAGGGTTTTGCCCACACCATAACGAAGAACACTGCCCACACCATCTGCGGCAGGAGTTCCATAAGGAAGAACCACCACTTACTAACTGATGCTGCACTGACCGCCGTCACATCGGTGTGTGTACCATTCTGCCGATTCTGCACATTGGAGGCAAAGTTCTGGTGGGCCTCACCATCTTCCTTGGTACGGTGGTGTCTCAGCTGGAGAAACTGGAGCTGGACGAATCTGGGGGCTGGACGATGTGCCTTTTTTCCTTTTTTCAAGGGGCCCTCCACTGGGAGAAGCCCTCTCCCACCAAGAAAGACGTGAATCATATATATATATAATATAATTTTCTCCCACTATATATTAACGTTATAGTCTCAATATGTTGGGGGGGTTCATCACTTTTCCAGATTGGTCAAGGCCTCCAAGACTTTGACTCTAGATAAAAACATATTAAAAAACCCAAGATCATCAGAGTCAAGGATGTTCCATCACATGCACCACAAGCGATAGACGTTCCAACTGAAAATGGTACCCAGACGTACGTAGTGGAGAGGCGATGACCGTCATGATCCTCTTTGTGGATCTCTTGCGCGCTCGTTTTGGGCCAGAAATAAGCAGAACAATGGTCAAGAAGGCTCTCCTGATCCATTAGCATATATATTGCTTAGAGTCTAACTACCCACACCTACTGATTTGTGGGTCTATGCGGACGTACTTCATGGTTTGGAATATTTTACATGTTCATTCTTGACATGCGGCCAGTGGGAGCCAAAAGAACGATGACCAACTGCTTCCCAAACGGCACAAAGGCACAAAGGCACACAGCAGGGGCTGCAGGGTCTCCATGGAGTGCCCATGGAGCGAAGAGGAACTCGCTACGAATGAGTGCGTATTTCAATCGGGCGGTCCATTTCCCGCACCGAACGGGGGATCGAACCGGGAGGCCTCGCTAAGAAAAAAATCATACACCCTCAAATCTCACAGCAACAATATGTATATAACATGTTACATCCGTTATATGTCAAAGGCCATTTACATGTCATCCCGTTTTATGATGTGTATATAACATGTCGACTAGGTGTTTGACATACGCCGATACATGATGTCGACTAGGCGTCGCTCACATGCTTTGGTCAGATCCAGGGATGTCACACCCCAGGTTTTGGGTATTCATAACCACGTAAAAAGAAACCCAATTAGTAGACGAACCTTGTTTTGAAGTCTTAGAATTAGGTGCAAGGCTCATGAATTATATGTTCTGTGGCTCTGGATATATAGTGCCTATAGAAAATCCAAAAGGAATTGGTACCCACTGACGTCTCCGACGCCTTCCGTCTAAGTTGATGCTGGTGGCCATCGGTTCCGCCGCCTACATGGCCTACCAGCGGCGACGGGCTGGCCCTGCGGAGCGACCCGTGCGGTGCGTTTTCGGTTGCCTGCTTAGTTTTGGTTTCGAACGAGGGTTTTTGTCTGAAGGGTTCTTTTGGTATAGAAATGTTTTTTGCAGAAGTGCTGAGCTGCGGTTATACAGTACTACATTTGAGACTTAAATTGAGTTCTTTAATGTTTTTGTTGGAACATCATGAGCTACTTATGTTTAGCGTGGCCGTACATGGACATGTTGTGTGTAGCCGGAGTGGAAGGTAGGCTATCAGTTCGTCATCAACGCGATTGGAATATTTTTTTTGGTAAAGGAAAACATCAACTCCTTAGGCTTGAGGATGAGTGTTTGATGTTTTCTTTCGACCGGCAACGGTTCTTTTTATATGCTTCCATTAATTTCTGAAGACTTCCCAAATTGCTTTAATTCTATAATAACCCTGTCATTGGGCAATCGGTTGTTGTTGAAAAGCATAAATCTTCATTTCGCTTGGATGCAAGCGATCCATTTCAGCTCCAACTTTTCATCGGCACCATCGCAGCCACATGAAATCATGGACCAGGAGCAACAAGCACCGCTGCGCGACGGTGCCGCTGCCCCTGCTGCTACGGAAAGTGCGCCCACACCAGCGGCGGAGGCGCAAGAGCTTCGGCATGGCTGGTGGAGTCAACAACTTTCTGAGGGGCCCATGATGGCCCATGCTATGGATGCTTATTAGTTAAGCTGGCAGCTGATGGATGGTTTTTTTCTGGATGAAAGGAAACTTGGGATGATCTATGTAAAATGCCTTTCGGAAGCAAAGGTGTTTGAGATTGATTTTCGTGAATTGGACAGACGTGTCAGGGACAGAGCCGGCCATTGGGATCTTCACCAACTAAATGAAATGCAACGGTTTCCTGAACCCAAAGTACTGGGGCGCACGAAGTGGGGTGGTTGATGGACACATCCAATCACCTTACCCAAACACTCCATGGGACTGCCATATAAGCCGATGAATTGACCCCAAAACCACCCCAACTGATCAGCAAACATGGCATACCTGGAGTGCCTGGGTAATATAGAGGTGCAAAGAAACCATAATTTTGTAGACACCCCCAAATAGCCGGCTCCTGGTATGACATCTATCATTTGCGGTGATAGTATCCCAGAAAACATGTAACAGTCCGAAACATGTATCACTGGTTTAGAGAAAAGCCTTTAACTTTACTAACCATCATCATCCACTGTTACCCATAGACCATCGCATCTATATTTGTGGGATTCGACCATCAAACGGTCTACAACATGTTGTTGCTTCCAGCTTCACAGTGGACTTGAGAGGGCTTGACCGTTTTTTGGTAGGTAATTAGGTGATTTTATCGGAAAAAAAGTTTGTTCTACATGAATTTACTAATTGAGCGATCGGATAAACTGATCCTGATGTTCCCCACCTGTCAGGTGAGAGTTGTTCGATTTTATGTCAGCTGCCGTGCTTCTCCTCCTCCTCCTGCTCCTCCTGCTCCTCTCCTCCTCGCCCTCCTCAACCGCAAGTGTAGGATGGCAGTGTTCCCCGCCGGACCTCAACCACCAGCTCCGGATGGCAGTGTTCCCCGCCGGACCTCAACCGCCAACTCCGGATGGCAGTGTTCCTCGCCGGACCTCAACCTTCAGCTGGTAGTGTTCCCCGCCGGACCTCAACCGCGAGTCAGAAGATATGCCAGATAAAATGCCAACTATGCCGAAATTTTGTGTCAATACATGCAAAAAACTTGCCAGAGTGAAGTGTCAGGGTGAGGGTCACTCGAAGTAAGGCAATTGTTTGATGGCTTTGTTGAGAGTGGATGTTTGAGTTTGTGCAACCATGGTTCGTCCGTTTCAACCACCTGCCTGCTCGTTATACTGGTGGGTTGAGCCGGTGTCTCAGACGCCGCAGGCTCCCGCCACGGAGGCGGACGCCACTGTCACTTGGGCACTAATTATTGGTCGTGTGCACGAGGAGGAACTACACTCCCTAATCGTGGACGTGGAGTGAACAACTAGTAACAAGGGCATCGCTTCTAGTATCAACGGCATGACTACTAGCAACAAGAAATCTACTATAGTGCCAGTTGTTTGGTATTGAACTGAAGATTTCATGGTCATCCGAGTCTTCTGGGGCCATGCATGGCCATGCCATCCGCGTTGGCCCATGATGACTCCAGGGAGTGTACCAGACCTCAAAAGCCGAAGGGTTTGCAGTTCCAAACGATCCTTTCAGGGCCGAGGAAATGCCCGGCCTCACACTATACTGATTTGGTGAATTTTGCCGAGATCAGATCTCATGTCCCACTTGTTTGATTACGCCAACTGTCATCTCTTTGATTACACCAACCATCAGTCACTAATGACTCAACCAGCTGCGAACCAGTTTCGTGACCTTTTAGGAGTCCCTGCCAGCGACCTGTTCCAAGCCTGTTGGTGACCTCAAAACCAGGGGTTCAAGTTCGGTCACTTTGAGGAAGGCTCTGATTTTGAGACAACCGCTGGAGTCTAGACTCCCTGAAATCATGGGCCAACGTGGATGGGATGGCATGCCCGCATCATGGCCACCCGAAAATGACCATGAAATCAACCAAAGAGGTGGTGAACTCCCCCACTCCACGTCATGATTGCAGGGAGTTCATACTAACCTTTTATGATCGGTCAGGCCGACCTTTCCGCAATTCAGGCTGAGAGCGCATTCGTAGCCAATGAGTCCCCCACAAGAAAAGCCAGGAACCCATGAAATGAGTGCAAGAAGTCCAATGAACCCATCTTGATCCAAGATCTAAGATGAGATCAACTATAAGCGCTATAAGCCCCTCTTAAAGTAGTCCACCTCCATAAGAGTACAAAAATTAAGTCCATGAGATACAGTTCCCATGAGTTCTCGCTTCTTCCCCTTCCGCTTCCGCGTGTCTCAGGCACCCAGCTTCTCGGGTCCCGAGGCGGCACCGGGGCGCCGGTGATGCCGGACGCCGGACAGACGTCGAGGGAGAGCAGTGAAGGGCAGTGACTTCCTGTGACTTCGGATGGACTTTTTGGATGATTTGAACCCATCTCTTGGGAGGTGTGGTCTGGTTGACGGTCTGGTTGACGGTCTTGATTGCAGCTGTTTAGGGCTTCAGGGCAGAATGCGTGAACATTTTTGAGTTGTCAGGCGTCTACATGACAGGTTTGAGGTACCTGCCTTGAAGATGTTCCATCCACTCCTTAAGCCATCCACATACAGGCTGGTGCCTGAGAGCTGCTCAAATACACATGGTCTTCAGACCGATCGCGGGCGGACATGGGCGGCTTCTTTGAACAGTCCAAAAAACTTGGAATGAGTCTTTGGAATTGCTTAGATTGAGTATTTATACAATATATGTTGAGGATTGGACAAACTTGAAATGAGTTTGTGATGTCATGTCAATGAGGAGTTTGAGTTGAATGTTACGGACGTCCAAAGGAAGGCACTCCTCCGATAGGAAGAAAGGGGCCCTCGATACCTGAGAGTGAGAAACATGTACAGCATGAGGATACCTGACCCCATTTCCTCTATGAAATGGGGGGGGTCAACCTTTCTATAGAATGAGCGGCAAGTCCCCCAAAAGGTAATGGGGTTGGGTATGTACAAGGAGTGAATCACACCGTTGACATCAAGACAGTGACCATACCTGACCAATTCCCACTGACCAGTCCAGACTGAAGCTGATGCGTGTTTTTGTTGCACGATGTCAGAGTACCGAGGGTGTTCTTGTTCTATAGCGCGGAATAGATCATGCAGACCTTGACTCCAACGCCCTGTATTGGCTACTCCAAACACGTGTTTGTTGTCTCATGCGCTTTCCACCATGTGCCCGAAAAATACACCTTTCTCCTATTATCCTCATCTTTGGGAATGGGTCATGGCTACTTGGACTCACCCCGACGAGTCGACCATGTCGGTCCGTCCACGGCGCCCGTTGACGTGCCACGGCGCCGTTTCGTCCGTCAAGCGGAGAGACGGCTGCGGCGCGACCAGCGGCCGAACCCGGGAGCGGCCGGGAGGAGGAAGAACAGCGATGAACAGCGGTTGGAGGCTATTTTTTGGGATTGTTGGAAAGAGGAGAAGCTGAGAAGCTGATGTTTTTAATGTTTGCAATGTTTGATGTGGTGCTAATTTGCTCCAGAAGGGAAGCAACCCGGAACCACCCTGAGGTGTCGCGTTCTAAGAAGATGCGAAGAGAATTCCACATTTCACGTATACGAGGTGAGCGTGTGAAGAGATCGAGGCATGGAACGCAAAAAGCCGCGCAAGAGCTTGGGGTATGGCTGCACATGGGCTGCAGCTTGTCAAAGACAGGATGTGTGCAAGTTGCTGTCAGTTTTGGATGGACAGCTTTTGGCAGACTTTATACTTTGACCTGCTGGTTGCTGTAGCCATTCGTGTTAGGTGTGTTTCGTTCCTCGTTTGTAAAAACGGTCTCCAATACTCCGGAATCCTTCAGTCGCTGGCTTTGGTCGGACACCACCGGGAAACATCTGGCCTATCCACTCGCAGCCATTCGCAGCCTAGCGAAGGCCTTGAGCGCTGCATCCCCTGAGAGGGTCTGACGTGCGCTCCAACTGAACAAAATCACACACCCCTTGACATTGACCATGAGAAGCGGACAGAAGTGCCAACCTTTGGAACAGCAGGAACAAACAACAGCTCCGGACCGAAAATTTCTACATCAACATGATTCATTCTTATGTTAGCTGACAGGAAAAGTTGCACCTTGTTGCCATTGCCCCCCGGAGACAGCCAACACTCCACACCTGCAGAACCACTCCAAAAATCGCTTTAGACCCCTTCACCACCAATGGCTGTGCTGTGTTGGCCCATGGCCGTTTTCGCGTGCACGTGGCTGGAGTAAGACTTGGCATGGAGGCCTGGGGGGCCAGGTTGATTTTGGCATGTCCTGTCCATGTATGCATGTATAAGCATGCATGACACTCCAGCCATGCCCTCTCAACCCTGCATGCAAGATTGGAGGCGTGCTGGCCTTGTTGAACAGAAGAGAAGGATGCCCCCTTAAGTTGTCAGGAAAAATAAAGCATCTGCACCAGTACGTTCGGCAATGTGAAGTTGTTCGGGAGTCTTTTGTCTATTTGTGCTTGCCTTGAAGCCGTTGGATCCATTTCGGGTCCTGAACTGATGGACTACCGTTCAAAGATGGACAGCATTTGGAAGGTCGTTTGGGACGTGTGATATTTTTGGACACTCGAAGTATATTATACTGTATACATACATCACCATCGACACGACATGCAATCTTTCTTGCTTGTGCACCTGCCCTTGATATGTACAGACTGGTGAATATAACCCCCCTCAGATTGAACAATCTCTTCATGTATCTTCATATGTTTGTTTCATTCTTTAAATCAACAGACAATTTATAGCTGGACATCCCACATGGGTGTTGGGGACGTGGGGGCTTGCTTGGAGTGACCGTGACTGCCCCACCCTGGAGGGTCCGGAGAAGCTCCGATGCTCCGATGGTTGCTGCGCGTAGTGCTGCTGGGAGTTCTTGTAACGCTCTGGTGGTGTCTCGGCATTGGTCGTCGTGCCCCGTTGTGGCCCCGGGAATCGATAGCCTGAGACTGAAGTCGAGTCGACCCCAGAACGGTCAGCTCCGACCTGTCTGACGAGCTGATCTGGGAACCTGATTTCTGGGAAGTTCCGAATACTTCCAGGGAGGTATAGTCTTTGGACTTCTTATATAGGGGTAGATGGTGGCAAGTAGTTCTGATCCTTTTGAGCGGATAGGGGTATGGCTGGTATGGATCTTCACAAGAAAACGGAAGCCTTGGCACTTGGGATATGGATTGTTCTTCTTCAGACACATGTCCACCTGTTCTAAATTCTATGCTTTTGGGGAGTTATACCCGAATGGTGTGCCGGAAACAGGACCTACACTGGGTGGATCAAGGGTATTCATGTATTCTCACTTTCCGGAACTCAAGGGGTCATGTTTGCAGTCTCGATCTTCTTTAAACAACTCCTTTCTCCAGCACCACCAGGTCGCTGATAGATGTATTTTCGAGCCGGTGGCCTTCACCTCTGAAAGTAGCTCTCATTGGAAGACTTGGACCGGAAGAGTTCCCTCCTCGCCTCCCGGGCCAACCATTTGGGGCTCCGAGGAATCCGCTTTGGCATGAGGTCGGGCTCCTCGGGGTCCGCTTCGGGTCGCCGCTTCGGTCGTTCGGTCTAAGTGTCGTTGCTTCGGACCTGTTTGCTTCGCCCCTCCCCCCTAAACAGAGCCCATGGTGGTGTGGCTGATGACCAAAGGGAACACCGTACACTACTCCTCAAAGCTCCCAAAGAACGTCCGACCTTCCCCCTGCCTGGTCAAGGAGGTTGGGTCGGGAGCCTCGGATCGGTCTCCCTTTTGGAGCGACCCGGGCCTGGTCGAAGAGAAGACCTCCATGCAACTTCAGACTTCTTTTTCCGGAAGCACAGACGAAAAAGGATGAAATAGGAACTGGATCGAGATTCCCCAAAGGAATCCACCATGGAACATGAACAAACCGTAGCAAACCCTGACCTCGTCGATGACGTTGTTGTTTTTTCCGCAAGAACCAGATGACGAGACCTCTCGTGCGCGCGATTGGATTCTGAACGATCTGAACAGGAGGATTGAACGTCGGTTAAACATAACCAGGACCTTCAGAACCTTCGACCGTCCTTGAGATCCCGGTGGCGGGTTGGTCACAACTCGTCGTCCCGAACAAAGATGGTCACGTAAACAGACTCCAATTCGAGGTCACGTACTGAAGGTCCTGGAAATTGATTACAGGTTCGAAACCCACGGTCTGCCCGGTCAAGATTAGATTCCTATCCCTATATAAGGCTCCGGTCGTACCTTGTGAGGTTCGGTGGAACTGGGGTTGGTTTAGAGCGTCCAAATTAATATCTTCTGAGGAGGTACTTGGAGCTTGCACTTCATGTCCCAAATTCTGCTGAACATGGGTGGCGAAGCGGGCGAAGTCATCGTGCTTCCCATGGTTTGCCGCGGCCAAAAAGCCCCCGCATCCTGGAAAAGGACTCCGGACTTCACCCGTCGACTTTTTGGTGTATTGAAGCCAAACCACGGCTCGGCTCACTGAAGAGTTCCCTCGCATGTTGAGATGATGCCTCCGGTGATGCCCGGAGGGACCACCGGATGGGACGCGAGCTGCCGCAGGTGCCACGCAACGTTCTGGAGGACTCCACCCTTGGCGTCGCCGTCAGGGCCGAGGTTGGTCGGGAAATCGAGGGAAAACATGGGACAACCCACCTGACCTGAGGACAGAGACAAGATGTTGACGGTGTTTTTACGTGATTCCTTCGATGTTCTGATATGTTCTGTGTGTTTTCTCTGAGACACCCGAGCATTGTGGACTTCGAGCCATTGCTCAACAACTGACAGGATTGGCTCGCCGGTTCCCGGTGAAACGCCCCAAGTTGGTCACACTCCTGACTCGCGGACAGCAAGTTGGTGCTCCGGTCTGACCCAGACACGACCTGTTTGGGACTGCCAGGACGGACTGCCTTGTCAAGCCAGAACCCCCAGTCAACCACCCGAATGGGGCGGCAGTCCGTCCTGGCAGTCCCAGACGGGTCGTGCTTGGGTATGTTGTGTCACCCGAGCTTGGACTTTGAGACAGCCACAGAGCATCACCTCTGCTCGCCGCTTTGCTCGCTGCGGCTCTCGCGGCTCGGATGCTCCAGGTGCCCAGATTGGAGGAGAACGGAACCTTTGAGGCGCGAACCTTCTGACAGCGCCGACAGCGAGGGTGAGGACAGTCAAATGAACTTGGAAGATAAGAAACATGTTTTTTCCTCTACCACTGCAGTGGTTTGCAGAATCCATGTTAGTCTTTGAGGTGGTAAGTCCGTTTTGGAGGAGCAGGCTCTTGAGAGGGTCCATGTTCTGTGTCAATGACCAAAAGTATGAACTATGAAATCATCTTGAAACACTGTTGTGGGCGGCGATCGATGGCATCGCCCAAATCTAGAAACCCAAACTGTTCCTGGCGCAGAAATTCGTGGCACTTGGTTTCCGAAATCCACCCCACACCATGGGCAAACGCACCACCACTCCGCCACTTCCCGCTTCACCGAAGCACCCCTCGCTTCACCGAACCCGGTGACCCTTTGGCCGTGGGCCAGACGGGCTCCGCAGGCGCCGAACCACACCCGTCGGGCGGAGGCGCACGGACGCGCTGTGGGGTTTCGCGCCGCGGAACGCTTCGGCTTCGGTTCTCTCCGAGGGATCGGAGGTCGTTGGTTTCTCCCGCTTCACCCGGCACGGAAAGGTATGGTTGGGATCTGGTGGGATGTGGGTCATGGTGGTTGTGATGAGGATGATCCATGTTAGGGATCGAGAGAAGGAGGAAGAGCGTGTGGGGATTGTGTGCGAGTTTGGTCAAGCTGTGAGGAGCTCCGATGGAGCATCACTTGGATAAGCTGTTGAATGGTTGCTTGGCGGAACATAGAATTGAAGTAACTTGGATTAACACGTGGTATAATCTTGGCACTTTGGTTGGCATCTTAGTTTGTATAGACACCATCCAACCATATCCAACCCATCAAGTTTTACCATCCATCCATCCTGGGAGGTGCCTTTCGTTGGTCTCTTTGAGTCTATGAAACTTCTCCATGTCAAGTTTCTCCTTTTTCGTGGGAGACACCCCTAAATCTGGAAATACCCTGGCTTGAACCACTATGAAATACAGTACGCACCATGAAATGTACCATGAAGAAGACACAACACAGTGGTCTGAAAGCCGTGTTTGGTGATTGTGACCCCACTTGGCGCACGTTTGGTCCACTTTTCTGTCCGGTGGTCTCAGAAACTACCCCAGTCTCCAGCCCTGTCTCGCCAGAAACCGCAGCGGGTGGAACGGAATCGCAGCCAGGCCGGACTGACGGGGCCGGTGGACTGAGCACAGGTTGGTCATGTGTTGCCTTTGTTTACTTCACCGGGGAGATTCCTCGTAAACTAGCGCACCTTGTTGCGCAACAGCTTAAGCTTCTTTCTTGAGAGAATTGATGTGGTCGTGTTTTCTGTGTTTTTTTTTTTCCACGGCTGGTCAATGGAGTAGCCAGCCAGCAGCTAGCATTCACACTTCATCAAGATGCAGGCCTGGACAGTTGTATAGACGTTCTTGTTTGCATATCTTTTGGAAGCTAAGCGTTGGGATCGAAACCTCCTTAGAGTCCATATCCAAAAACTCGGACTGGCATTGATTTTGAAGAATGGAGAAAGGACACCCCTTTGCTGATCGCAACAAGATTTGGCCAGTCCCAAAACAGATGGTGTTTTGTTACGAAGAAAGTTCTCGCGCAGACATGTCGGGTCCTGAGCCGGTGAAAGCCTGTCTCTTCTGTGCCGCACAGATGCTTCTGGAGGAACGGGTCAAATGAAGACATGGATGATAGGCAGAGCCACGAACTGGAGCGAAATGGCCTCACCCCAGCACATGGTTTGCTTGTTCCTGGTTGCCACTTTAAAGTTACTTTCAACATGGAGACGGTGTACTTACTTCACCAAAGAGAAATCTCCATTACGAGAGTTTATTCATTGGTGGCTATGAGTAAGAGCTCTACCACGCGATCATTCACCCTGGAAAAGGATGCCCTTTCAGGATGCTCCTATTGAATGTTGATTTGTTGAATTTCTGCAAATTGTCAGAATTGTTTTAACAACATAATGCTGCGTTGGTTTGTCACTGTTCTTTTGATTCCAAGTTGTTTGTTGTTTGCTTGGTTGTATGGCATGGCTTTGTACCAAAGCGCTAGTCATGCTGTAAGATACTGTAAGTAACATTAAGTTATATTGTTAGGGTGTTTTGATAATAAAACAAAAACAGATCTATATACGCAAACACAAAAATTGGGGAGCTGTGCTGTTCTTAATGCTGGTATCAATATTGTTATTCCAGGGAAGCACTGCACATTGTGAGCGTTCAGTGTGCGTGTATATCCTCCGACGTGGACAGTTGACCCAATATTCTACTGCCAGTGTCGTGTGTATCTACCACCGAAGTGGATAGTTGACCCGATATTCTCCTGTAAGTCATTTACCGGTGTCACTCCACCTTGTTTGCGTCTCCCAACCATCCGCACCTTGTAAGGCAGCTCCCACTTCCACTGAACGATTTTGCCATCAAACGCATTCAAACACCTGGTGAAATGGTGATGATCTCCACCAATTCCCCTTCACCAAGACACGTCCCTTGTGACACGTCCGTGTGGAGACTGTGCTTTTGCTGAAGACACATCCGACTTTGGGTGCTGAGTGCTGAGCTCTGCAGCATCAACCTTGCCTAAATCATACACTTCTGAGACGGTGGCTCCAAAATCCATTTGACCATCCACAATAACTAACTTAATAGCTGCTAAGGCGCTAGGGAAAACGATACTATTTCCTCCAGGCATAGGCAAAACAAAGAGCTAAATCACCCAAGTGGATCCAGGCAAACCAGTATAAGTGGTTCCAAAGACTTCAACCTTTGAACGAAACCCTGGTACCTTATATATTCTTAGTACCCAGACACTCCATGTACGGCATATATACGTTGGGGTGGTTTCAATGGGGTCAATGGGGAGGCATAATATATATATATATACCTTACACGGAGTGTTTGGGGTATACAACTGGAATTCACTGGGAACTTGTGACATCGTTCCACGAATGACAGGATCACCCCGCCAACGTAAGCGGAAAGTGCTCGTCTGGACATCAGGGAGGTGCAGGCGCGAGAAGTGGAACTGCATTTCCATAGCCTGCACAAACCATAGCCTGGATATGCCTAGATACTCCGTTTTGCTCAGAGGAATTAGTATTTGAGATTGAATCATTGAATAGAACTGAGTTAGTTTGTGAAGCCATCTCAAGTGTATGCAAGTGTAATTGGTGTATATTTAAGTGTATATATATTGGTTGGGTCTATCTCATCTCTAATTCATTGGTCATGTGAAGTTATTTTCGTTGCGCGCTTCTTCTTGTAGTTTTTGCAAATCCCAAGCGACGTGGTTTAGGCCTGAGGAGTTTTGGATTCTGTCGGAAGACCAACAGGCTGTTCTCCTGTTTGCTTGTGTTTGTCAAGGTTTTCTCTATTTGTCAACATGGCATTTTAAAAAGCATCCCAACATCGCATTTTTTTTTTCGATGCCAAGACCAACTGAATTGCTTGAAGACCGGCTTTCAAAAAGCGTCCCCAAGTAGTAGTCGTGGCACGGTGTCCAAGACATTTTCTACCTGGGGATCTACGAACTTCTATCTATGGTGCTCCGATTTCCTCAGGTTTGGTGGATAAACTGCCCCCTTGGCACCCCAACAACCTTCTTTTTCGGACGTGGGCCCAGGCTATGACAGGCTTTAACCAAAACTACGCCGCCCTTCGAGGACCGAAAGCTCGCTTTCTCGATCGCGAGGCCGCTGCACCTCCTCCACGGAGTGTGAGGCCGAGCGCTTCTGCCATCAGGATGATGGCGCGGGAGCGCGTTGGGCCGAGGATCGCGACAGGTGTTCACCAGTTTTCACGGAGAAATGCTTTACAGTCAATTTGAAATCACGGTGAGTGGAGTGAGTGGTCTACCACGTTATTAACTTCCGATGTTCAGAAGGACCAACATCGGGGGCCTGGCCACTTCACGTCACCAGGATGTTGGAGTCGCTAGAGCCACGTAGACTTGCGTTCGTTCGCGGAACGATGAGGTTCGCGAACGATGAGCAACAGCGGCCTACAAGGCCTACAAAGCCTGAAAAACGTAACGTCAACCGTCAACGTGAAGTGAAATTGAACCTTTCTTTGGTTCGTCCATGGATGCAGTCTTTATTTGTTTCGTCGCTAACCACTTGGACTTCGTCAATGCTTCTCCTCAGACTCTGGACATTTCACGAGAATTGGAAGAGGATCTCGCCCAAATGGCCTCTCAGTGCAACAAGACCTCAGGAGCACTCGACCTGCGAGCCCTTTTGCATCAGCAGCTATGGACGCAGCCACTGGGATCCCCGTTGTTCCGGCGGTTTTGAGAGCCCTCGCTCTCACCACCGGGCGGAGCCCTCGCCGGGCTATGTGGGCTGCAAGGGCATCAGAGATTTGAAGGTTAAGTTATGTTATGAACATCTTATTTGTTCAGACAGAAGCGCTCTCTGTGCCGGGTTGTTTGTGCACTCTTCCAAAGACACATTTTTGTTGGTAGACTTTTGCGTGCAAACTGTACCTCATGCCTTCTATGAGGATTCTTTCATACTGTCCCCTTGCTCTAGTCTTTGTCAGCATCCGTGCTTTTCCACAAGTTCCTAGACAACTGGAATCTGCCCAGAAAAAAAAAACAAAAAGCAATTAACTTAAAAAGAGGCAACCCTTGTCTTGGGACCTTTGCTTGTTGGGATTCCCGGGTTAAATGCTTGTGATAGAACTGGTTCCTTTGCGCCCCCGCGAACGGAATTGTGCAGATCGTCTTGAAGCCAAGGTTCAAACCAAAGAGGTTTCTGCGTCCCAGACCGCGAATTCGAATTCCAAAGCGGCGAACGGGGCGCGAAACGGGGAGCGCGGCGTTGCGAGCTCGTCCATACACAACGAGTCAGGACATAAAAACGAGGGAATGAAGAACCAGTCGGGCCAAGAGAAGAATTCCGAGACCAGACAGCTGGAAGCAGAAAACCAGTCCAGACAAAGACAAGAGGTTCCAAGACTGGTTTGATGTATTTTCACCCGTTTGCATCAAAAAGAGACATGTTTTCTCGGACAGATGGAAGCTTCGCTCTCTCCAACCACGGGTTTTCAGCGTTCGACGTGTGCCGATGGGACGACGATGTGTTCGACGACCGCGATGGGACGAGATTCACGAGCCGAGCCGAGCAGGTTGGGTCCTCGCGTCGGATCGCTTCGCGAAGTCACCCTGCGAAGTCGGTCATACGTTCACCCTCTGATCGGAAAATACGCCTGAGAGAGAGAGAGAGAGAGCAATTCCGGCCTCTGACCGTCATAGTCCTTGCAACGAAGTGTGTTTGATGTTCATTTGCTGTTTGCGTAGAGATCATGTTGGAGATATGCTTGGTCTTGATTCCTCAAGTTCACCCAAAGTTAAAGTGTGTAAGAAACCATTGCAAAGACCGGTTGTTGATTTTATTGAACCACAGTTCTTAAAGCACATTGCTTTCACCCAATTCAGCAGGCCCATAGTAAAAACATCCTCCTTGTAAGGTTACAGATATCAGCCTGACCTTACCCTTTGTCAAAGAGTATCCCTTCCTTGTCCAACTCATTTGTTCAAGTAAACATCTTACCTTTGTTCACAACCCTGACAACCTGAAACTGAGGGTTGTGAAGTGTTTGTTTGCATGATGAGTCTATGTTTATTTTGATAATATGCACTTGATACCAATGTAACAAGTACTAACAATATGGTTGAAGTGGCGAACATGGTTCGTTTCTGGGAGATGATACAGAGGTGATCTGACTGGGGAGACCAAACATACGAAGAAATGTCTCATGTCTCGTGGTTGTTGGGGCCTTATATGCCTATACTATATGCAATTTTGGAAAGAAATTGTTTGTGTAAAAGAATGCCTTCAAACTGTGAATGTGTCTCCACATGGAAGGTTTGCGGGCAATACAAATGAAATGTAAAGTCGCCTCCAACCTGATAGCGATGGCCTGTGGTGCAACACAAGTATTGAATCTGTTGCCCTGTATTCTCAAACGGAAACTTTGACTTTTGCTCACCGTGCTCCTCTCTCTATTTGTTTGTTCTTTTCTGCGTTGGTGACTTTGACTTTCGCACATGGTTGGGTCGATCAACAAGATGAGTACTGAACATGCGTGTATGTCACACACGTTAGTATATACAGGGACTTGAAAATTGGCACCAAACAAGAGCTCCCCAGCCTAGCCATCATCAAGTGTGCCGCAAGGAGTGAGGGAAATAGACATAGACCAAGTGTTGAGTGATTAGGCCCAGACAGTAAAAGTACCAAAGAATTCACAGGGACTCAAAGCATAATCTTACTGATGCCTTGCGAATTCAGTTCCGCCGTTCAGACATGCTTCTTCCTTCGACCGTCGACCATGAATCATAAATAGCACACACAGCCTTGAGCCTTCGACCCTGAACCGAAGTCACTTCTTCTGAATTGGTGACCAGGGTGCGGATGTACAGCAACATCACCAGATGACCAGCAAGATCCCCACAGCCAGTGGAGTTGGTCAAAGCATAGAACTGCCAGAAAAGGCGTTTGAACCAGACTCATGTTTCGTGCTTGCAAAACCACTCGCGCATCAAAACACACACCAGGCTATATCTGCGAAGACGTCGCAGCACAGAAAAACCAAAGAGCCACGACGCAAACCACCTGAGGCGAGTTGCAGATGAAGCGCTGCAGTGGCTGTCTAAAGAGCTGTGGTGCGTGCCTTCTGCGGCAATTGGTCTTATAGACGGGTCTTAAACATATCCCCAACACTCCATGGGACTGGCATACATATGAATCCATACATAGAGTTACTTTCAGGGGTCAATCTAGGCATATTTTATACCATACATGGAGTGTTTGGATATTAAACGTGAAAGACTGCTTTTTCCATGTTTTCAGTCTGATTGTTCGGTTCCGATTCCCACTGTTGGAGCATTTGAAGAGGTTGATGGTCTTCATAAAGTCCCCAAAAAGGGGCTCCAACCACCGAACCTGAGGATATGGGGCGTTCGTTTCGCCCAATGGACATCTGTGACGGACTATAGGGGGACCACGATGGTGCGTTGCATGGACGATCCGACGCGATACGATCCGACGCGGCAGCTTCCTGCCGGTGGCGGAATCCGTTCTTTCCAACAGAATCCGTTCAGGCAAAGACTTCCAAACTGCGACCTGGTGATGTCTACTGCCGGCCGAACGCACCGCTTGCACCGGTGATGTTGAGCGCTCCGTTGGGGGATCCAACGGACCGAGCCCGACCGAGCCCGAGCTCGTCGGTCACCGGTGCGAAGGGCTTCGTCCGAGGCGATGCCATGGCTTCATCGAGGAGCGCAAGGCCTTGCGCGAAGGAGCGGAGCGTCCGGGGCGGAGCGTCCGGGGCGGAGCGTCCGGGGGATGCGGCAAAGACGTTGGTACACCATGATTCATCCCAGACGCGACCAATGGGGACTGCCATATACCTACATTGACCCCCCCAAACCACCCCAATGTAGGCATATATGGCATACATGGAGTGTCTGGGCATGCACATGACGAATATCACGAGGCACTGTATGTTCCATGAGTGTCACATACGGCGGAAACTCCATGGGTTCTGTCGAGCTTCACTGTTCAACGTCCCTGGAGCTGTGTCAGAATGAGGAACAGGCTGTGTGTGCGTGTCGAAGAGAACGGTTTAAGTGTCAGAAGGGCCGTGCAAGAGGAACTGCCTCTAGTATACAATGTATTCTACTGGACCAGTTTTTGTATGTATATAAGTCTTCCTGAAGTCAGCCAGGTGCTTGTCCTCTCTGAAAGGCAAGTCATCAGAAGGTCCAATCACCAGGAAAAAAAACAGTATAGAAAGAACCTTTGTATGGTTGAGATTCCCTCGCAGCATGTAGCCAGGGTGCAAAGCTCAGTCAGCCAGGGTGGAAAGCTTCCGGAAGGAATGTGTGGTTCCAAGTGAGGTTTGTTTGTTTTTTCCTAGAAGAGCCCGGGCTATTGTTATGAGGAAGTCTTGTCATGGCTGGTTTCAACCACGGCTCAGGTGAGGCGGATGCAAACAACACCTCTTGAAAACATGTTCATTAAGTCGAGCAGCGGACTGGACTGGCTACAGCCGGACTGGCAGCCGGCCGCGACAGCGACGGTGTGTGTGTTTGACATCGACTCCTTACGACATACGTCAGAGGAATCCTGGATGGGCCCAAGGGAATCAGCAAGGAGACTAGATCCGATCGAAAGAGAACCGAACCGAAAGGCCGGCCAATTCCTTGACAAAGATGAAACAGAATAGTCGCAGGCAGCTGTGCGAAGCGCTTGCTGCTTCGCAGCTGCCAGCAATGCAAGGCCACGTCGACGGCTGGCTCCGTTGTTCCAACGAGGGCGTTCCGTTGGGAATTCGTGGGGGCTGGTGATCGAATTTGTGGAGAGTCTACGCCCTGGTTCTGAGACCCACGCGGAAGCTGAAAACCACTGGGTTGTCCATGAAAATCGTTGGCCAGAAGGTCCATGGCATCAGGTTCCATGATCAATGTTGATACCAGGAAATTCCCACCGGTACCGGTGCCCCAAGAATTCTTCGCAAATCAATGTTCCCATCTTCCCAAATGAAAGCACAAATTAATGGAGCATTTGTCTCATGATAATTAGGGGCCATTCTCACCATGTTTGCCCATTTGAGTTGGTGGTTTGTGAAGTGCATCGATGGCGCTGCTTGGTTTTCATAGAGGGGCCCTCTTCCTGACCTCGGTCGTAACAGCCTACCTGGCACCGCCCTCTCGTCGACCGAGCAATCACCGCAGGAGGCGTGTCAAGAGCTCCCAGAGGAGATGCCCATCCGCTTCCCAGAAGATGAACCGACACTCGCCCACTTCAGGAAGGCGGAGGAAGGCGGAGGAGAGGAGTCAGCACTGTTAGTTAGACACTCCGGACTGCCACAGATGCATATGCATATGCATACATACATATATGCCTATATATACATTGACCCCCGGCCCAAAACCTTATGGCACTCTCATGGAGTGTCTGGGTTACAGGGTCAGAACGTGATAGCAAACACGGTTCGCAGGTGAGACTCTTCAGTTTTGGAACTGCCGTTTTGGTACTGCAGTTCGACTCTTTCAGCAGGACACCTACAATCCCTACCGTGGAGATGGATCAAGAACGACTTGCCTGGTGCCCACGTTGCCAGGTGTCCGGCCCGGGGGGAAAGATGCCCTCTTGGTGGGTGGTGACACACACCCCAAGGCTCCGAACGCCCCATATCCTCAGGTTCGGTGGGGACTGACCACCCCAAGACCACCCACCTCCGGCCCATCTTCGAAACGGAGGGGGAGGGGTCGCCCATGGTCGCCAGCCCAGATCGGTTGGATCGGATGGACATCTCTGTGGACTGTCATGACTGTCTACACAAGAGCATCACATTGTTTAAAGGACTGCAAGCTGTTTTCATCATCATGAATCATCCCCTGTTACTGGATGTGACTAGTAATGGAATAGACCCAAATCATGACTATATTGCATACTGTATAGAATAGCCTAGGAGCCTAGGGGGTTACAGACCTCTATCATTCTTCCTAAGCTTTTGGACTCTTTGAGGACGCTGTTGGCTGTTTGGGGTGCCAAGGAGAGTGGCAGACGTGTGGATCACGAGCTATCCCAAAGCTGGCTCGACTTGGGCATCTGGGCCGAGACGCGGCGCTTGGGTAGAGAGGAACACAATGGGAGTGGGTCAGCCTTTGCTCCTAGTAATTAGTAGCCTCTTGTTACTACAGATGAAACGATTCCCTGCTTCTGGCCTCCAACCTACTGGCCTCCACCGAGCATAGCGTCCTTGCTCCTAGTAGTAGCGATGCCCTTTTCTCCTAGTAGCTTCAAAGGGGCAAAGACCTACCAAAACACATCTCCACAGAGTCCTGGTGCTCAGCAGAAGTCACCGACCTCCACGACACAAACCCGGTGGAAATCGCGACAAGTCGGTGAACCAACTGAAATGCTGAACGAGGCAAGAAAGGAAGAGGAAGCAAGGAAGGAAGGAAGGAAGGAAGGAAGGAAGGGCTAGCGGGAGGAAGGAAGGAAGGGGGAATGGTTGTGTTCATGATGTGAGGCATGATGTTCGACTGAGATTCTTCCCCCGGGTGTCTTTTCCCCCCCGGGTTTCTCGCCGGGAAGGGCCCTTCGTCGCGTGACCCGGTGCTTCGCGAATCCACGGGCCATTTCTCCGTGCCGGCTCCAGGTGCGCCACCTCATCACCAATCTGCATTTCGCTGCCTGGCAGCGGAGCCGCGAGCGAATTGGGACCCGACCGGGACCCAACTCAACCCCGCACTTCGCATCCATCAGGAGCAGGTCAGCAGGTCAGGATGGGACTTCAAGATGTACTGGAGTTGATTCACCAAAACTCATCAATGGGTTTGGTCAGGACTGGGAGACTGGACCTGGATCAGACGAAACACCACCGCATGGAGAGTCTTCACTTTTGGCGCCTAAAAGAAGATGACTCATGTTTTTGTAGTTTGTTCGACTCATTTTGTTGTCACCTCTTCAGCTTTCCATCTCAACCCAAAAAATTGGGCTTCCAATTTGCCAGACCTGGAGTTAAGAAACTGATGCCGGGTTCAACCGTTTCCTCTTCAAGTTCCTTGGAACTGTTCCTTCGTCATGTTGCGGTGATGAGTTGCTCGTCATGTTGCGGGTTTGTTGTTTAGATCGTTAAACAAATGGTATGTGTATGACAATAGATGTATATGGTTGTCGATCTAAAGGTCCTAATAGGAATTGTTGATGACGATGACCTTGGAGCATGTCAAAACCTCATTTGGCGATGTTGTGTTTCTCGAGTTGGCGAAAGGTTTGTTTGGCGAAAGATATGGCTAAAGTTCAGTTTTTCTTTTGTATGATCTTATGCCCCCATGATTAATCACAGAGCAGGTCACCTTTTCACCGTAGCATTGGGGCTTCAGTGAGTGTGGATGGGAGAGGAGAAAAGTTCTCCTCTCCCAGTGTGCGATCGCTGCCGACATTTTGTTGTTCGCGACAAGTCGGTGGCGACGTGTGGGCCGTGCCGTAAGGCTTACCAATTGCAGGTGAGTCTGCGGAACGTGATCCCGCCCGGAAAAGACGAATCCGCCGTCGTCTTTTTCGAAGGCTGCTTTGGACTTTTAGAGGATTGGCTTCAGGAGATCAAAGGCCTGAATAAGAGAGACAAAGCAGCCCGAGAGGAGAAAGATCAGACAGAAGGCAAGCCCCGAGAGATCCCAGAGAAAAAGCCCGAAGGACCCAAGAGAACCGAGAACCCCGAGAGACCCAGTCGACCAGCCGAGCCCCTTACCAGACCCCCGGAGGACAAACGAGGTCAGCATCTTCAGACACCAAGCCGCCCATCCAGCTCGAGCAAGGGTCCCAATAGGTTACCCTTGCCACCACCACCTCCGGTCCCGGCAGAACCCCAGGGGAGCGTGAACAGAGGCTACAGCTCCCAGACAGTCAGGGTGCCCACGCCAAGCCAGCGAGCACCAAACCCCAAGGTTGAACGATCCGAGACAAAACCAGCCACTCCGGCCAAAAACAAGAAGAGCTCATCCGCTGAGGAAGTCGAGGTTGAGGCTCGAGAAGAGCCTGATCAGCCCAGCCGCAAGAAGAAGGAAAGATCCAGAAGAAGGAGGAGACGGGAGAGGTCACGTTCCTCTCCCAGTTCGAGGAGTCGAGACAAGAAGAAGAAGAAGCGAGAACAGCGGAGAGAGAGGGAAAAAGGCCGGCGAAGAAGAAGATCGCCCACGGGTAGCTCATCCGTGACTGGGTCCCGTGTCCGGGAGGCGAAGAAGGCCGCCCCTGTGAGACTCAAGTCTCCCGCTAGGCCTCCAAGCCCACACACACCACCTGGGCCTCCACCAGCGCCCCCGCCGGTGCGTGAACCTCCAGTGCGAAGGCCACCAGCCCGAAACCCCGGTCGGCCCGCAGTGCGCCAAGGCCCCGGTTGGATCGGGAAAGTGCCCTGGTCCAACCACCCCAGGTGGTGGGCAGGAAAGAACAAAGGAGTGACTCGTCGTGCGAAGCAGGAGCTCTTCAATCGCCGGAGATAATGCCTCCTCGAGCAAGACCGGCCACAAGAAGTCCGGCGTTGCGGAAAAGGCCTGCGAAGCACGTGGAAGCCGACAAAAAGGTTACCCGACTGCATTCCTTCAAAGAGCTGGCCGCGGTACAGTTGAGAACCCTCGGCCTGGTGGAGCTCGCCCAAGCGTCCTATTATGAAGGGCACATCAAACTAGCGGGCTATGTGGAAGGGCTTGGTAAAGATGATGGATACCTGACCTTCTGAGCAACCGGTACGCAGTCGGACCACATGACCGAGTTTCTGTCTGACCCCAAGAGGTGCATCTTCCACCTGCACGTGTGCGGACCGGATTGTGGACGAAAAGAAACAGGCCCGGACATCATCCACGCTGCAGGCTATTGGCTCGTCGAAGAAGATAGGCGGCCCTGGCATACTATGTATGAGGAGGTTGAGGCAAGGCCGGGAGCAGTTGATGAGATGAGTTCATTGCGGAAGTTGCACGAGGAGCAGAAGAAGAGAGAGGCAGGGGAGGATCCACCTCCCAGTGAAGGGTCAGAGAAACAGAAGAAGAAGAAAAAGAAAAAGGCAAGAGAAAAGGAGAAGAAGGCAAGCAAGCTCCATCTGAGGAAAGATGAGGTTGAGGGTGATGCGGAAGGCCATGACTATGAAAGAGGGCAAAAGCCCCTGAGGGCAATCTTCGGGGGAACCTGCCTGGACCCTGAAGTGAGTTCAACGCTGAAGATGTTGAAGAGGGCGAGAAGGTTTAGCAACAAGAGTTCCAAGAAGAAGAGGCAGTCGAGTAGTGGCGATGCTAGCAGTTCCTCCTCATCCAGCGATAGCGAGGACGAAGATTTGGAGGAGGGATTGTTTGAAGAGAGGAGGAAAGCTCTGAAATTGACCGGGCGATTTCCGGGCAGCCTAGCGTCGCAAACTATTAGCAGCATGAAAGAAGCGACGCTGACTTTGGCTGGGACCTTGCATTCGCAAGACAAGAGGAGCTTACCCCCGCTGTTCACACAATATTTCAGGACGGAGCTCCAGGGCCTATGTGGACCGTCGATGTGTCAGGAGTTGCTGACGCTGTGCCAGGGGGCAGACCTCCTGCTACAAGGGCATATAGCCCGCACAGTTGACTTGTTGGCACAGAGGGTGAAGGCACTAGAGCAGCAGTCCCGAGGAGGTCATTGGTCTGTGGCCCGTCAACTAGAGCTTGTTTCCGCTGATGCTACTGGACTGAGCCAAGGGCCCGAATCGGCGGAGGCAGCTCGCAATGCAAGGGAGGAGCTGAGAAACAGACTGGCCTCCCAGAGACCTTATGGGTCGACCGGCCGAGAGAGAGGAGAGGCTTCGAGTGGCAAAGGCAAGGATCGTTACGTCCCCCCCAACGAGAAAGGAAAAGGAGACAAAGGAAAGAAGGGAAAGGGAAAGGCAAAGCAGAAAGAATGATGAGTGTACACGCCGCAAAAGGCATCATTGAGGGAGGGACAACAAGAGGTTTGGTTGAGGCAGAGGATCGGAGGCGGAAAGAGGAGGCTTGGACAGAGAAGATGCATGAGGAGGTTGAACAGAGTGAGGATGCAGAGGCTATAGACTGGTTGTTGAAGGATTCTCGGGAAAAGGGCTTGAAGCAGAGCAGACTTGAGGGCAAGAGGCGGAAGATTGGCCAATGGCCGTATGAGGAGTTGAGAGGGGAGCCCCAAGGCTCCCAGTGTGGTGTCAGTGGAAACGCCGCATTGGATGAGCCTGGTGACATTGAGTTGAAGTTGATGGGTGGAAAATTCTCCAAACGGGAGCGGAACTCCCAGCGATTGAGTCGAAGGGTTGATGACAGCAATGGCGGAGCTGGAAGAAACGCTTCGAGTGGCCATACCTCCCTGCCAGAAAGCAGGTCGAGAAGGACATTGCTGGACTCAAGCGGGCGGCAAGCATTTGAAGACTGTCGCCTCAACCTTGCTACAGCATGTCGAAAAAAGGATTTGACTTTTGAGGAGCTTGGGCAGGTGCTTGTAGAGACGTTGAAGGTGCAAGAAAGGACATTTACGCGTTGCAGCGAGACCAAAGGGGGTCTATTCCCCTTGCCCCTTCCTTCGTCTCTGGAAGCCATAGGATTCCAAGGTTTTTGTGCAGATGCATTGGTGCAAGCATTGAATTCATTGTATGGGACGAGAACCATAGAAAGATTGAGGGAGGACAAAACACGGTTGAATATGGTAAACCGGTTGCTGAAGGTGGTGGAAGATTCGGAGGTGAGAGGTTGTGAGGTTCCTGATCTTGACTTTGGGGAGTTCTTCAAAGCACGTTCGGTCGACTACTCCGGAGAGATCGTTCAGGTCGCACGTCGATTCAATTGGCGTATGGTGGAGGCTGCATTCCCCGAAGCTGTAGGGAGTCTAGAGTTGGTGGTGTGTGAGGGTGGAACCCTGGCCTACGTGAAGAACTTTGAAGACTTTCTCCTGCCGCCCCAGGATCAGCACTTGGGGAAAGCGCCCAGCATCATGGTGGAGGCCAGCCACTGGGCTGAGGTCTGTTCAGGACTCGTTCGTCGGGGTGTGTGTCGACTCATGCATGTTAGTGAACCCCATCACATAGGAGGACGACCTTTGATGAACGGACTGTTTGCAGTCAGCAAGCAGGAGCAAGCCACAGATGCCCAAGGAAACGTCTTTGAAGTTTGTAGGCTGATTATGAATCTGGTCCCCACCAATGGGTGCTGCAGGAGCTTGGTTGGAGACACTTCAACTCTTCCGAGTGTTGTAGGTATGTCATCCATAGTGCTTGACGACAACCAGCTTCTGGTGACTTCATCAGAGGATATCCGTTGTTTCTTTTACCTGTTTCGGACGCCCCCGAGTTGGTGGAAGTACATGGGATTTGGACGGGAGGTTCCTAAAGAGGCCCTCCCAAGTGGCTACACTGGAGGAGGATGGCACCTGGTCACACAAGTGTTGCCTATGGGATTCATCAACTCTGTCGCTATTGCACAGCATGTGCACAGAAGAGTGATCAATCAGGCGTTGACAGGTGAGGCTAGGCTAGCGTCAGGGCATCAAGAGATCAGACGAGATCGAGCTTCTAGCAGCGCACCCCATCTGTTTCGGGTCTATCTAGATAACTATGACGAGCTCAAGAAGGTTGACAGGCAGCTTGCCGAAGTGATCGCCGGTAGCCCCTCAGCGTGGACCCTGGCAGTAAGGCAAACATATGAAACGCTCGGTCTCCTTCGTCATCCAAAGAAAGCAGTGACTCAGCAAGTGAAGGCCGAGGTGCAGGGTGCTTGGGTGAACGGAGATCTAGGCAAGGCAGGGCCAAAGCCGGACAAGGTGATGAGGTATGTGAAGCTAGCTTGTGAGGCGGTGATTCAAGGAAAGGCTTCGCAGCGTGAGCTCCAAGTCATTGGGGGAGGCTTTGTATACATTGCTATGTTTAGGCGTCCTCTGTTGTCAGGGCTTAATGCCATCTGGAGGCGGGTCGTAGAGCTCAGCAAGTTGAAGCCCACTCAACGGGCGCCTCTGGGGCCAGAGGTAGAGCATGAACTCCTACGGTTTGTTGCACTGATACCCCTCGCCTACATGGACTTCCGGACCCCCATCTCAGAGAAAGTGACCGCCAGTGACGCTTCGACTACAGGTGGAGGCTTGTGCGTATCCAAGCAACTCAGTCCCTATGGCGTCGCAGCTAGCATGGCCAGTTGCAGGGGAGACCTGATCTCCCAGGATGAGGTCGGGTCTATCTTGGTGGTGTCGCTGTTCGACGGCATTGGAGCCCTGCGTGTAGCTGTCGATTCGTTGCAGGTACCTGTTGCGGGGTATGTGTCTGTTGAGATATCGCCTGAGGCTCGTCGTGTCGTGGAGAGCTGGTTTCCCGAAGTCATCGCGATCGAGGATGCGCAGTGCATTGATGAGCATGAGGTCAGTAGTTGGTGCCTGCGTTTCCCCGGAGTGTGTGCGGTGCTTCTTGGGGCTGGACCCCCGTGTCAAGGTGTCTCGGGGTTGAACACTGATAGGCGAGGGGCGTTGCGTGATGTGAGATCTTGCCTGTTCGCTCATGTCCCTAGGATTGAAAGCATCCTCAAGAGATTTTTCACTTGGTGTCCCACCTTCACTCTCATTGAGAACGTCGCTTCCATGGATGCGCCGCACTATGTCAGAGGCGTACGACCTTTCTCCTTGGCAGGTAGACGCTAGTGGCTTGTCATTGTGTCGGCGGCCCCGCTTGTACTGGTTCAATTGGGAGCCCAGAGCTCTCATTGGAGCCACAGTTGTGCCAGGCGACAGTCATCGACTCCCGTTGGCCGGGGCCATTCACCTGGAGGCGACGATAGATGAGCGAGACTTCTTGGAGCCAGGTTGGAAGCTTAATTCGCCTGGGCGTTTCCCTACATTCACCACCTCACGGCCATCTGAGACTCCAGGTCGCAAACCCGCAGGTTTGGCATTGTGTCCGCCCGAAGCTAAGGCCCGGTGGCATGCTGATAAGCACAGGTTCCCGCCTTATCAATATCGATGGGAGAACTCAGTCAGCAACTCCCAGGGCGATGTTCGCGTGCCCTCGGTTGTGGAAAGGGAGGTGATCCTTGGATTCCCCTCCCAGTATACAGCAAAGTGCGGCCTAAGGCTGAGGTAGGAACCACTCGTTGCAACGATGTCCGGCTTACGCTGCTAGGAAACAGTTGGTCGGTGCCTGTGGTTGCGTTCTTGCTACATTGTCTCTTTGCCACGTTGGGGTTGAATGAAGAGAAGACAGTTCAAGAGATTGTGGACCACCTGACTCCAGGCAAGTGCCCCGTTTTAGCCGGGTTGCTCATGCGCCCCCCACTTCGACATACTACCAAGCCGGGACAAGAGTCCCTGGGACTGGTGCGCAAACTGCTGGGACAAGTCTCAGTCAAGGGAGAGGACATTCTACTGCAGTTAGCTACAGACATACCGGCCAGGTATCATCGTCTTCGAGCGTCCATCCCAGGCAAGCTGTGGCGTTGGCGCGACGTTGTTGGGTGGCGTTGGACCGGAGAAGCTGAACATATCAACGCGCTTGAGCTACGTGCAGTGAAAACTGCCTTGGTGTGGAGGATCAAGGAACTACAGGAGTATGGGACAAAGTGCTTGCATCTTGTTGATTCGCTTGTGGTTCTGCATGCTCTGTCGCGCGGACGATCCAGTAGTAGAAAACTTCGAAGGACTCTTGCTAAAATCAGTGCGTTGTTGTTGGCTAGCGGACTCCATGTAGCCTGGGGCTACATTGATACAAAGCAAAACCCGGCGGACAAACCGTCCCGCCGGCCGATCCGGAAAGGATGGCTAAAAGCACGAAGAAGATAGTTGAAGGCCGCAGCAAACAACAGCGCCAGAAAGTACGCAAGAGCTTAGGGAAGTTGAAGGATCTTACAGTTCAGCCACGCACCCGTCACCGCTATGACCAGTCGCTCCGCCAATTCCTTGATTGGTTGACACGGGAGGGCCTCAGCTTGCCGACCCAGGCCTCCCAGATGGATAACTTGGTGTCCGACTACTTGTGGGCTAGTGGAGAAGGAAAATCGGTAGCCAACAACGCGTTGGCGGCCCTGCAGGACCATGACCCAAACCTGAAGAAGAAACTTCCAGGAAGCTGGCGCCTCATGAAGGCATGGAACACCGCCGAGATTCCCAACCGTGCACCCCCGCTCACGCTGAACCTACTGAACGCCTTATGCGGTTGGAGTGTGCTTCAAGAGTGCCCTGAGTTTGGCCTTTCACTGCGCGTTGCGTTTTTCGGCTTGTTGCGTACAGGTGAACTTTTAAATGTGCGCGCTCGTGATGTTTATCTCACTAGTCCGAAAGGGCCGGCCGTGATTTCGCTTGGCCTGACCAAGTCTGGCGCCCGCCAAGGCGCAGCAGAGAGTGTAACCATTCATGAGTCTTCAGTCCTCCCTGGACTTTACCATTGGAAAACACATGCTCGACCACAGGATTTCCTTACAGTGAAACCACATGCTTGGAGACGACTGTTTAACAAGGCCATTGAAGGCCTCAAACTCCAAGACTATGCCTACCGTCCATACTCCCTCCGGAGGGGAGGAGCCACATTTTTCTTTCAGCACCACGGTAGTTTTGACCGCCTCCTAATTCAGGGGCGGTGGGGAGCCGCGAAAACTGCTCGTATATACCTCAACGACGGGCTCGCCCAGTTGTCAGAAATCTCTGTCCCGAATTCGCAATTGCGGTCCTACCTTTCCTTGTACCACAAGCACCCAATGCTTGAGCCTGGGATCCCGAAGGATCCCAGGCCAGGGGGACGTGGAAGGCCCCGGAAAACACTGTCTTTTTTCTGTGTCGCTTTGTCAGGTTTCAAGAGTGAAATGAAACCCTCAAAAGACTGACCTTGAA